GTGGTAGATAAGATATTTGGGAAGAAAGAGCATGGCAACTGTTATCCTATAGCAATATGGCTCATAACTTTTCAAGCTGTGCAGTGTGTATAAAGATCTGAAACTGTTATATAGCAATAGGATGTCCAGATTTATCAACTCTTTTTTCCTGGCTGCAGTCTTCATTGTTTTGAAAGATGTTTGAATCATAGAGAAACAAAGATAAGAAAATAAAGAGAATGAATAGCTAATGACGGGCATGAATCCCGCAGCTAGGATAGTTTCAAATAGTTGGAACTAATCAATTACACATTGGTCTATCAACTCCACTTTGTGTCCTAGAAGCAGACATTACCGCACTTGTGTACGTGACTTAATCCTCAGGCAGATAAAAATCCACATTTTGTCCTTCTGCCATATGTGAAAAGCAATGTTAGATCCAGGAGATATTTTGGATCCAAGTACGGGCATCTGTGACTTCCCACTGTCATGCTCACAAAGTCATTCCACGTTAAACAAATAGATCCATCAGTAGTGGATAAAGCCTTTTTGCCTTGATAAAGAAGGCTTTGGCCACAGTGACCCACCCATTTGTCATTTCCCCTGTAAACTACTCACTTACATGTTTCCACTGAGAAAAGGACCCTTAAGCATCTCGTTCTTATGCTCTGTTGCCACCCTTGGTTCGCGGTTTACTTCCTTTGCCAGTCTTGGCATTGGTCTGACTCTTCAAAGCCGTCAGCTTCAGGCTCCATGGGTGATTACACTTTTCCTTGTGACCTAGATGGGATGTGCATTGGGTAAGCAATGTCTGGGGGGAGGTCAGATTAAGGCAAACTGCAGATCCTCCCCCTTTTGTGACAAACCCTTTGCTCAACATCTGACTTGATTATTGTAATGATAAAATATAGACCCCATTCTTTTGCAGGGATGGGAGAAAAGCAAAAACTTTTTTGGATTTCAGTCTTAACCATACCATGAAGACTTCATTTACTAAGAAATCACAATTGTGAATCCAATATGTCTATAGGTAGATAGACATTTTTCGCTCTCCCAGATGGATAATGGTAACCAGCTAACACACCTCTTCCCAAATGTAACATGTTAGCCAGCTCTGGTGTTTCTGAACGCGATGCTCATCAACATCTTGGAGGACTGCACATGGACACAGTAGCATCCCACTACCTTAGATGTCCCAAACTCATCCAAGTTTCTCTAACAAGGGGGCACAGTGCCCTGTGTCTGCTCCTTCACAATGCTTTTCTGCTCAAGTTTACAGTAGTACAGTGGACCTATTCTCCATGGCTCAGCTAGGATACGCTGCTTTGGAGCAGAAAGTTCAGCTTTTAACCCTGTAAAAATAATGGTTCATGATCATTTGGTTCTTTATATTCTGAAGCATTTCAATTCATACGCTCTATCTACTGCATTTACTGAAATGCAGTAATTGCTGGAGCAGGCAGTAGTTAGCACTCAGCAAAATGTCCCGGAAAAAAAGAAAGGAATAACCCCTATCTCACAAAAAGTGCTCTGGGATCTATACTCAAACGCTTTTATCTTTCCTTTCATTCTCCCTTTCCTGAATTAAGTCACTCATCATCCAGTGTCATGCAGGTTTCCAAATGACCTACTCAAGGATCTATATGCTTCTGGAGCTTGGACTAGAAACCAATTGTCTTGACCTTGGTTCCTAAGTCTAACCAATAGATGAACTTATGTGAGCAGGCATCATGAGTACTGAAATCCATAAGGCTTTACCACTGCATCCTCAGTGAGAAGAGAATCAGACCACCACTTTATTTCTTTTGAGCCCTGCCAAGTAGAAACCAGATTTGGAGGTCCCCCCTTCTACTCTCTTATATAATGGTGCTCAACCCTTTTGGGTCACCCCAAGGGCCAGGCAATGCCTGCCTGTCTGCAGGCTGGATCCTGCCAGTAGGTCTGACTCAGTGGGTGCAGTGAGACCCAATCCAGCTACATGGAGGGGGCAAGGGCATCCACCCTGCCCCCCCATCCTGCTGTGTGCAGGGGAGGGAGCAGGCCCTGGCCCCAATCTGGCTGTGCCAGGAAGAGGGCATGGCCCAGTCCCAATCTGGCCACATGGGGGAATAGGGACCTTGTCCTGAACCTACTGCATGGGTTTGGGATTTGCTGGCAGGGGGAGGATGGCAGAGTTAATTGTCACTGCTCTCTCACAGTCCAATTTCATGACCCATGGGGAGGTCTGCAGGCCAGATGCCATGGCTCCAAATATTTGGCCTGTGGTCTTGGCGTTGAGCACCCCTGGCCTAAGTCAACAAATAGCTTCAATATATGTAGTGATGACAGCGCTGTAAAATTGGCATATTAGCCTGAGGAATCTTGCTTTTTTCTCTTATTCTACTTGTCAGATTGCAGCACGTGAGGCTGACTCTTATCTCACATTTACTGGCAGTACAGGCTCCACTATTGCTGCTGATTTACACCAGTGAAACAACAGCAAGAATCCAACCCTAACAATATGCCTGTAAGGATCAGCAAGGCTGCTGCACATTTAGATGTACTGCAGCAGCCCAATCTGCTCCCACTGAGGAATAAATAGCAGCACAGAGGAAAAAGAAAACACTACAAGGCAAGCTGCTTCTCATCACAGCACAGTTGATCCTGGCACTAATACTACATTTACCCAGTTTGATGCCTTCCAGAATGCAAGTAGTTTTACAGTTGCTTTGAGTATTTTGTGGCACAGAGAGGAAAATGGGCCCTGTGTGGTCAATAAAGAATTCCCTTGCATAGTCTCATGATTTTTAAGCTCCAATTAGAGTGGGGATTGCAGGTCTTGCACAATGCCTTCCATGAAGAGTGGTAAGAGGACAAATTGCCCCAAACAAGCTTTGGGAGAGAAAACAGACTCTCCTTTCAGAGCGCAGAACTTGTGTAGCGCAAGTGAATGGTTCATGTAGAGGATAACAGTCTACTACTGAAACCAGCTAAACCAGTCTGCTACTGAAACCAGCTAAACCATGGCTAAACCATCTAAGTGCAGAGGCCTATGATTTGGAGCTGAAGGCCCAGGGGTCCTCCTATGCTGGGCATCTTCTCAAGACCTTGATCAAAAAGAGGAGCTATAGCCCTGTAACCGATGGGGGCTGTTCTAATGGAGACTAAGAGCAATGTGTCTTTTTCTAGTCGCTGGCTATATAACAGGTAACAGGCAACTCTTTTAGCTTAGGTAGTTCAGATCTTACCCTGGCATCGAATACTTAGGCTTCATTCCTCCTTTTATGATGAACTTTCCAAATAACTTATTGCTCCATTTTTTCCAGGTTACATGCAGGCTATCTCCTAGTTTAATACCCTCAGATACTCCGACAGCTGCTTCTCCTGCTTGAGCCCTCTCTTCCAGCCCCCCAACAATTAACTCATACCACCTTGAATCCTGATCCTTTCTCTTAGCATCCTGGAGCCAATTCAGGTGTGTAAGAGGGTATGGGTTATACCTAAGGGGCCTTAAGAGAGTCTATATGGGTGAGACTTAACTGGTGAAGGGCCCAGAAAAAGCTTCAGTTACAGCAACTTGGAATCCCTTAGAAACAGGCCCTGTATCATTGAATTCTTATGACTGCTGCCTGCTTCTTTTCAGATAAATTAAACATATAATGACTGGAAACTGCTGTGTCAGTTCACGACATCTAAGACTATCACCCCACCAGCAAGGGGCTGGAGTTTCAGCTTGTTTCTTGGCTTACAGAAGTAACTTTTCTTTGCCTGCCACTTTGGACAGTGTCTAAGAAAATTACTTATAGATTTAGAGAAATAACTTCACCTGACACTCATTTCTCCCTTGCCAGAATAGATTTGAAGCATTTTAGCTTCAAAAAAAAAAAAAATCCATACAGCCTAGCCCTGTCATACGGTGACAGTTTGAATGAGTGAGATTTCAAAAATATTATGAGTAAGATTTTAAGTGTCTCATTGAAACCGGTAAGAAAAAGGAGGAGGAAAAGAAAAAGAAGAAGAAACCTTCATCCTAAGAGGGGAGGATTTTAAAACTCCTTAAAATTGATTCAAGATTGAGTAGTTCCCTTCCATATGAATACAACATAGCATGGCTGCCGAATGAAAAATAATTGGGTTTGCTTCTTTTCTTAGGTTTATATTGGTATAGCTGCATTTCCTTCCACACTGCTACTCCTGTTTTATATTGGTGCGTGGGAGGGAAGTATCAGACATAGAGGCAATATTTTATTAACAATTTTTTTAGCGATACACCCAGCCCCCCTGCCCCACATCTGCGGGTATTGTTAATTACCACGTTTTATCTTTGAAGCCCTTTGCAATTATATGTATGATGTTGCCAAATGATGTCTAGCATGACATGATAGGCTACAAAGGTTGTTAGCATTGAGGAGACTCAGAAAAATTGTCTAGGTCTTCTAAGAAGTATAACTACAATTAATGGGATGAAATTAAGAAAGTGAATGCCCTGATTCTTAAAACTCTTACCACTTGCTCTCAGCATATTGAGGATGGTTTTGAAAGAGGTCAAATAACCAGAGCTGCGTTCGTCAACCTAACGACCACCTATGACATAGTTAACCACTGATAACTCCTTCACAAGACCCTAGCAATGACAAAAGACCTACATCTTACAGAGCTGATATAAAACTTTCTTAAAAACAGATGTTTTTATATCAGAGTGGATGAGAAGTGAAGCAGATGGAGGCAACATGTAATCCCAACAGGTAATCTGAATAATCCCTATTGGCCTAACACAGGGATGGGCAAAATGAGGCCTGGGGGCCAGATGCGGCCTGCCAGGCCATTCTATTTGGCCTACAGGGCCTATAAAAAATTTAGAAAATTAATATTTATCTGCCCCTGGATGCCTATCATGCAGCCCTCAATGGCTTACCAAAACTCAGTAAGCATCCCTCTGCCCAAAATAATTGCCCACCCCGGCCTAACAGATAAGGCACTGGCCTCCAAAGCCAGGGATTGTGGGTATGAGTCCTATCTGGCAGGGCTATTATTTCACAGGTGACCACATGGCCTGATAGGTAAGGCATCTGACTTTGGATCAGGAGATTGAGGGTTCAAGTCCCTCTGTGGTTGCTCTTCAGCTGTGCATATTACTATGGTTATTTGATACCAATAGTCTTTCCTGCTCAGAGCAGGAGGGCTGGACCTGATGATCTCAAGACATCCCTTCCACTCCTAAACTTTGGTGAATTGTTCTTTGTAGGGTTGATAGAAAATTCCTGTTTCTACTTATTGCTATATCCTTCAGATAGTTATAAGTCGGCGCTGTATCCTCCTCAGTCATTGCAAAGCAAAACAATCTTCAATGTGTCTTCTTTCAGTAGCAAATAGGACTCCTGGTGGTACTACATGTCAGCATGGTCAGACTCTTTTAAGATGTATATGAGAAATATCGTCTTGGCAGTGAACTGTATTATTTTCTGGAATACTCTTCCAAGGAAGAGAGCAGAAGCTGACACCAGAAATTGTACCAAGAAGAGATCATGCATTGAAAAGAGATGGTGTATACAATATGCAGGTCTTAGGTTTAAAAAAAAAAAAAAGAAAGAAATGATGCTCCCCAGGCAATTAGGGGCTGTACTTTTCTACAGAAGGGGAAATAAGACCAGCAAACTCACAGGAGTTCCTGACTTCAGGAGTGGCCTTACAACACACGCATATTCCCTGTGGCTGCAGCAGATGGGGGAAGGAGTAACCGATGGTGTATACAATATGCAGGTCTTAGGTTTAAAAAAAAAAAAAAGAAAGAAATGATGCTCCCCAGGCAATTAGGGGCTGTACTTTTCTACAGAAGGGGAAATAAGACCAGCAAACTCACAGGAGTTCCTGACTTCAGGAGTGGCCTTACAACACACGCATATTCCCTGTGGCTGCAGCAGATGGGTGAAGGAGTAACAGTCTTATTTGGCAAAATGGGAAACATAGGATGGATATAAGGACATGTATACTGTGCAAATGGTTCAACTCCCGATTGAACTACCCCGTGAGAAATGAAATCTCTGTCTGTGGAAGTTTTAAGTGCAGGTCAGACAATCACTTGTCTGCAATAGTTTAGACCAGAATGATCCTGCTCTGAGCACGGGGTTGGATGAGATGTAATCGCCTAATGTCCTTTCCAACCCATTTTTTGTACTATTCTACTAATACCCTCTTTAAGTGGAATAAGCCGTTTTTCACAAGGGCTGTAGCAAAGAGTAGGGTAAGCGGTATACACCCGAGTAACTGAGAAAGAGCAGTGGGTTTCCTTTCGGCAAGTTTTTACTTTCTCTTTGTGATTGTTCTTTGCCTTTTTCCCCCCTTCTTAGTGTATATTAGCTTCTACCTAAATCCTTCACACTGCATTTAGAACCAAATAAAGCATTAATATGTTCATCTCTGTGAAATGTTCTCCTAACTATTACCTCAGGCAGTCATTTAGTTGAATCTGATAGTGGGAACGCATTGACATTGTTAAGGTTAATGGCCCAATGATTAACAATACACATTTGCACTGAATGGTTTCAGTCACTGTTTCATAGAACAATGTGAACAGCCATTTGTACATTAGGCTACAATGTCCTGAAGTGGTGTCTTTCTTTTTACATTATAGATAGTATAAGATCAAGGTCCTCGTACTCATACTAGCATTGCCAAATTATTGCCAAAGTTTTACGCTTACCTAAAAAGTGGGTTTTAGCTGACTCGATTTAACATGATTTAAAATGTGAGCCAAACTGATTTTTATGTCTGTTTGACACCGATGAAATTCTCCTCCATGCTGCAGGAGAAACAGTCTTTCAGGGGAAGTCAGGTCAATACCAATATTTGAGTTGTACAGACTTAGGAGCATATAGTGTTAGAAATCAACTTCAAGAAATGATGTTCACTGATAAAGAATGGACTGTTTAATGTCATTGTAAGTATTTTTTCTGACTCTATATGTTTGCTTCTGTCACCTTTGAAATTTAGTGCGATGGGTTCCAGAGTAAGATAGTACTCAGTGCATGCGTTTACACATGAAATTAATGCAAATGAATAAACTCCAAAGCATATCACACCAGAGTTTACTGCTCTCAGGCACCACATCTTCACATGCACCTGGGAATGGACCATGTTGAGCCAGGTCGGAGCAGCCCTGGCTAGCAGGGGGACCCAGGGATCAGCCCGCCAACCCAGAGGTCAGCCCGTTAGGCTGGGGCTGCTCCGACCCAGCTTAACGTGCTGTGGAGGGGCTGGCGGGGCCATGAGGCTGCTTCAGTGCAGGGCTAGCCAGCAGGCAACCCCTGCCCTGAAACACCTTCATGCTCCAGCCAACCATATCAGCATCGACATGTGCAATGTTGCAGAGTTAGAAATTCTGCAGCAGGGTAGTACTAGTAAATACTTGCATTTACAAGTACTACCCCACTGCAGAGTTAATTAGTTTCCTACGGCCTAATAGAGCCACATGTGTAGATGTTAAGACTTTACTGTGGAGCTAATTAGGCAGCTCCATAGTAAACATCTCGTGTAGAAGCGCCCAGTATAAGAGTAATGATTGCAAAGTACGGTCCTCTCAAAACAACTCCGCTGAGGTCAGCAATAATATTAGTAACACATCATGAATGATATCTTCTGATCGTTCACAAGATAGCTCAGAAAACAGTGAGTTCATCTGGTATCCAGACAAATCATCTACTATCACAAGCTTAATTTTTATATGTGATTTAGATTTTACTAATTCTGAACACATTTGACTCTTCAATATGATGCTTACAACAAAAATAGATTCTATAGATATTCACTATGTGCAGTCTTTGGTAACTGAAAATTATAATCTCATCTAGCGCTTTCTTAAAACCCAGTGACAGCTGTCCCAGGATGATAGCATAATTTTTTAATGTGCAGCCATCTGAAAGTGGAACTCTCTCTGAGAGATGCAAGAATACTTTGAAGGCCTGTATGTGTACCACTTTTCTTCTGAGCAGCCTACAAACATAAAAGTAATTAATTCAGCCTCACAGCACCCTACAATTGTGGTTATTATCAATGCTATTTTAAAATTATTTTATAGCACCCAAAGGTAAGCTTGGGAGCTCTTTATCCCAAATAATTTACAATCTAATCCTATGCATAGTGTGACAAACTGGCCAAATAAACAGGCTAATTCAGAGGAAGGATGATGATCTCACTTAGGCCTAATTTGTTGGGGAAAAGGCACTGTTTCCTGCCCAGGAGCTTTGCAGTTAAGAGCATTTACCCAGGACCACTCATCCAGAAAAAAAGGGTCAAACCCCTATCTTCTACGTCTCAGGAAAGTATTTTAACAACTTAACTATGGGCTGGGTCACTAGGCAACCAAAAGGTCAAGATTCATGGAAAATAGCAGGCAAGATGGTATCTGGCTCTATGTTCCTGGAAAGTGGGACCTCTCTCAGGGAGGGAAGGTGCCCTGGGTACTTGTCCCAATTAATTTTATCCAATACTTATGTCATGAAAAATGTTTAAGTAGCCTCAGAGGCCAGAACCCAGGTCTCCCCTCCCCCCACCCAAGAAAAAGAAGTAACATTATTTTCATATACCGTATATATTCAAATCTAAGATGCACCCCACCCTCCAATCAGCTTAGGGAACAAAAAGCCCTGTCTTAGATTTGAGTACTGGACTGGGAAAGGCAGCAGCTCAGCTCCAGTTTTGGCCCCATGCCCAGCTCTTAAGCTGGAGCTGAGCCACCACCTGTCCTGGGGTGGCTTAGAGGAGGGGGCTTGTGGCAGGGGAAGTGTGCAGAAAAACCATGCGGTGGGGGTGGGGGGAGCACAAAGGGGAGACAGTGCAGGTGTGGGGGGGGTACTTCTCAGGGAAGCCTCAAAGTGTGCAGCTCGGAGGGTGCGGGGCAGCTTGAAGGC